TTTTTTTTTTTTTTTTTTTTTTGGTACGTTCTCAACTTAACTATGCCACTGTTGCACATGGCAGTCTGATCCCTCCACTGACTGTCCTGACAAAATTTTCATCTGCTACCAATGCGCTACTTATGTTGATTTATCATAATTTGATAACTTAAATAAATACTGAAGTATTTATTTATCAGCAAACTTGATAATCATTAATCGGCAACGGCCAGAAAATGTGATTTCAGTTGTTATCACAGTAAATACTACGTGATATCTGAAGTACTGAGTATTCGTCCTACAGATACATTTGTATAACAATAATGTGACCGAGAACTTCGTATCAAGTACGGCCAACTCAATAATAATTATTAATATCATAAGAACATCGGGAAAAATCGGTACGTCACTCGGCAGTTTCCGGTGTTTTATAGTGGTTTCTGTTTGATCGATGACCCCGAATTCCCAAAAAGAACTCAAATATTTCTCTCCAGAATCAGCCTTGTGTCAAGTCAGACAAATAATAACAGTAAAAGTACTGCTACAGAAACCAAATGTTACAACACAGTGATAGCACTGATTAGTCTATTCACAACATATTTAACTTAAAAATTGTCACCTGGTTACTTTCACTTTGGGCTGCCCGATCTACGTATAGCCTACTTGTAAACTGGACGCGTCCACGCGTCCACAAAGATTGAAACTTTTCACTCACCATGAATACCGTTGGTGGACAAATTACACTATAACATCTACTGTCGGACAGCTTGATTTTTGTACAATCTGAATCGAATATGCAGGAGAAATACCTCGCAACTGATGCCACCCTCTGAAAAAATACAGGTTACATGTATAAAGTCCCGTTTCTAAAATTAGACGTGACGGCACGGCACGTGACTCTATTCAGTCGCCTGGCATTGTTATGCGTCGATCATTCCAGCGCCAAGTGGTCTTTCAATCAGATAACAAAACTAGTGTTATTCATGCCACGAGGGCTGAGCGCAGGTGCGTACATACATGTTCAGGTGCCCCAGAACCCGCGCCAGTACCTGGAGTGTGCACCGGAAGATTTCGAAATAGCTCAGAACCTGGGTCATATTTTATGGGAGTATTTAGGACGAAAGCAAAGATATGTAGTTACTCCGTGTACATACTATGTGTACACCTTCGTTTGTTTGTTTGTTTGTTTTTGGTCGCCCATTTATCTTACCGATATGAAAGGTAGAAATAATTTTTTAAAATAAAAAAGTTTGCTACTTGAAAAGACGATAATATACATCGTTTGATATTTTTATTGAATTTACAGTAATATAATCTAAGCTACATTTTATCCGCATAAGGTTGCAAGCAACCAAATATTTGGCAATTAATTTTTCTAAATATGTTACAAGTTTCAATTTCCATATGTCATAATATATGACACAATATATGATCTCGGGGCGACTTAACCCGCACCGACATAAGAGAATGAAACAATGTAAATGAGAAAATAATGTGAAAATACAGAGCTGCAAACACTATGCATGCTCTTCCTATTATTTGGGATGGACTCCCTCTGCTTATAGCTGTTGTTCTATTGTTAATACAACTATGCAATCGTTGTACACATTTTGAATAGGCGTACTGTCAATTTGGCAACTCTGAAAATATAAATAACGTTTATAACATACATTCTATGGTTACAACAACATACTTGAAAAATCCCTTTAATTCAAATAATTGATTGAAGAGAGCATAAATCTGTACAAATTTTATATCAATTGTGCAAAATAAAATGAATCTACCCCATTTCTGCTAAAAGTTATCAAATTATCAGCCAAAATAAATTGTTCATTCAATGCCTTTTGGTCTTATACGAGGTTTACATAAAGTTGGGTTTTATTGTAAAATTCCACTTTTCTATAACTAATATAGACTACCACCTCTGAAGATGTTCTATCATTGTGGAAAATGATTTGTAGATGACCACAGATCAAACAAGGAACTTCATCAGTCATGTCAAACATAAAATTAAAATAAAAATACTCTTTAAACAGCAGCTTTACCATTCTTACCATTCCAATATTTCATAACTAAATCCTCATCTCTGGATGGATGTGTCTTGTGAGACGGTGAAATATTGGAATGGAATCTCTTTATCTTTCAGCTCTACCAGGTGTTTACTATAAATTACATTTCACTGACATCACACAGAGATGTACAATGTACACATCTTCATCTAGCATTCTTTAAAAATATTATCTTGTTAAAAGGAAAATATATATGAAAATAAACAACAGATCCAAACATTTTGAGAGCTTTACTTTTGCAACCATAACCATAATTTCTCCACTATGGTCTCACATACGTATAATCATAAACGTGGAAGATTTTGCTTTTATTGCACATGCATATAAGCATATTCAAACAATTTCTGTTTCTGTATTTGGCATCATATCGAGTTTTTCATTAGTAAGATTCTTCTCCACAGGAGTTCTAGCTCTTCTGACATGGATTAAAAATCCTTATTGATCATCATCATCTTGTTATCTGTTATAGGGTTTTATAGAAGAAAAGGGGAACTTTGTACATTTAAGACAGAGAGACCATATAGAAAAATGGCACAATAGATGATGATGTAAATTGTAATAGTATGCCTTGATGTAGCTAACAGATCCCTTAAACCAAGGGTACTCACCATCCTTGGATCTTTGGGGCCTTTATTTCTCAAAGAATCTCAAGTTGATTTAGGGGCTTAAGGCTGAGCTTTCCAATATATAGCTGACTAAGTTGCACTTCATAAAGAGTGTCTCTTTGTGTTCTTTTAACTAACCCTTTTGGTCAAATTGTGATTGTCTTAAGAAATAACCTTCCTCCCAGAGCTGTTAGTCACCCATATGTGCCCATTACATTCAGTATTGGAAAAATCATTCTAAAAAGCCCTTAGGAAGCTTTCAAAGTCATAGTTGTTTAGTGGGCTATCTAAGTTTGGCCATTTAAGCTTAGCCCAAGAGTTTCAGACTTTAAAAAAAATACCACAGTCCTAGTATGCCCAAATATCTGTCCAAATATCAGTGAAATCATACTCTCCAACATTTCAAAAGGTCCTGTGCACAGTCACACATAGACATCAGACACAGGTATGCCTGATGTATCGCACATGTCCACATAAACGGATAAGGTGTATTCGTGTATCTTTATTCCTGCCTCAGCTGCTTCTGACATTGCGTGTGCGACATTGTCGTATTTGGGTATGGTCGTTAGAGCATCCTGATCCTTCTTATATACATGCCCAGCAGCCACGGGGTCATATATCCCACCTGGAGCACAGAAACAAAACCATACAACAAGTACAGTTAAGTTTTTTCTAACAGTTTTAGCCATACTGAGCTCTTTTAAAAACAAGACCACTAAAGCTGGCAAATGTACAAACAACCTTTATCAGTTGGCAAATGTGCAGACATCTTTATCAGTTTACACAGGGAAATATATACAGCTATGTACAACCTTTGCAGCTGTGACAGTCCAAACTCAAATTTCTACTGTTAAGACCCTATTTTAACTAAAAAATATATAGTTTTTGTTGTGTTTTTACTGTTTAGAATAGATCTATAAGGTAGCCTGCTTTGTCAATTTTGTTGCTACTACCCAATAGGCATGTACTTAATATTTTAAGAATTTATGGCTTAGAAATACAGGATATGTAAAATTTCACAATTTCCTCATAACTAATGGCCTTGGACTGTTGGCTTATACCACAGACTGTGTATCTATGGAGTTGTATTACCTCTGTGTCCAGAAGGCTGAACTTTCAGTGCCTCTTCCACCAGAGCAGGGAACCACACCAAGTCAGTGAGGTACTCATAATCAGCACCATTAGAAAGATGACCTACAAGTAGTTTTAATACTAATAATTATAAACAAACTGGGACAAACATAATTTTATATGTCACAAAATTTTGAGAGTAAGTGTAGCAATATTGATAAAATGAGCACGACAAAAAAGAAAAATTATTCAAAAAGGCCATTGAAAGAAAGAGCCTAGACAAAATTCTGCAAAATAAACTTTCTTTATCCTCAAGCCAAAGTTCATGCAGATTTTAAAGTTGCACTAATTCATGACTTAAATGCAATAGAAAGAGAGAGCGAGAGAGAGAGGCTGGCTTACCATGTGACCTGTAGAGCTGTCTACCAAAAGGGTATGGACACTTTTTCTTGTTCTGTCCTTCCTTGTCTGCTATTAGATTATAGTCTTTGGCCTCACTTCAAATAAAAAAGAAAAAGAAGATCAACTGTTAATCCCTTCACTTCCTCATTGGGAAAAGGGCATTGGAATAAGGAATAGTGATAATATTTTGTATTTTTCTACACAGTGTATTTGGACAAGTAGTAAACTGACAACCACGTGTAACTCTACTGTAGTATTACTCACACTCGCATGTCATTTAGGACTTCCGTGTACTGCAGTAAGCGTGTTCTGTTATACTGAGAGGTCTCTGGCTCTGGGCTATGGTCCTCCACTAGGATGAAATTGTAGTTCTGGTTGGTCATCAAGATCTTCTCCATTTCAATTGGATCATACTGCAACAAGTGATTAAAATAATTAAATACAATTAATCAATTAATAGTTATAAGTATTTATTTAAAGAAAAAAAGTCACGAAAATTTTTATATACCTACAAAATAAACCAAAAACTTAACCTCTCTGGTGGTAATAACAAAATCTCCCACAAGATAACAAGTTTGTCATATTTTTTTTAAATCTATTTTCTAACAAAATAAAAAAGATTTTTGTTTAAACTTAACAAACAACTCTACATAACTCAAGACACTTTGGAACCAGGAACTTGCTTCCAATTATAATACACTGATTCTAGTTAGGTAATGTTCATCTTCATTTCAGCTTATACAAAATTAAATCTGTGCCATATGATTGTTTTGAGATAAAACATTTTTAACTGGAGTTACAAAATGACAAGATATGTCGAGTCAATTACACAACCTTCACAAGAAAGATAACCCACCTCCACCATTGGCCTGATAAAGACGGTCCGGTGGTCTTCAGGGGTAATGTTGGACACCTCAGTCACCAGGTTTTTGTGGTTCAGTTTCTTACACTGAGCAAACTTCACTTGTTGGAGGCAAGGTGCTTTCTGAATGGTCACATTCTTCAGGACACGGCATGCTGATCCTGGAAATTAAATTGAAAAAAATTCTTTTCATTGGATCTGCAAATAGCGAGTTTTTCACTGAAAAATATTTACGATTGCTGTGACAAGTCTTGATGAGATCTAGATGAAACTGTAAACAGGATTTTAAAAAGTGCTTCCCCTTTACTTGAGCTTATCTCAAACTTGAGTGGTATTTAATTATAAGCACACATTATTTGCATTTTTAAAGCAAATTATAACTTCAAATCCAGTTTCCTTTCAATATAATTCAAATAGTCAATAAATAATGGAAAAAGACAAAATATTCTCATATGGAATCTCTATAATGAAACAAAAATAATTTTCAATTTTTTTTTTGTTTGTTTGTTTTTGATATTGTTTATTAACTTACCATTAAGAGAGCTGAGAGAGGGACAGTCAGCCACATGCAGGTCAGTTATTCCCACTTTGTGCAGGTTCAAGTTTATCAATGTGGCAGACCTTATAGTGAAGATCTATAAATAGGGAAAAAAAATAATTTTAAACATTGTCAAACATGTTACAGCTTCATTTCTATTTTATTTCTTTATCCAGTTTATCGTTTGTTCATTTTTTGCTATGCACACTCACCTTCAGTAGTGTGTGTGTGTGTGTGTGTGTGTGTTTGTGTGTTTGTGTGTGAGCCAAACATTAATTTAGGGTTATGGATTGCAACAAATTAATTTTGTTCAAATCCACTGAAAAGGTACTATACACAAGAAAGACAGTCAAATTTTTAAGGTTAAATTGAAGGTATCTAATTTTTTCTTTTGGAAGTCAAAAATGGAGGGTGGTTCAACAAAGATTATCTGGAAGACTGTCAGAAAATATCTCTGGATCTGCCCCAGATACAAGTTGCCCTACCTGGACATGGTCATCCTCCTGCACGGGGTCACTGGTGCTGGTGGACTGATCCACCATCATGGTTTTCCTGGACCCAGCTTTAGCCAGGTAAGAGATATTAGTCTGACTGCCCCGGCTGCACAGTGGCGTCCTCAAATGGGCAGCGGCTGACCTGGTCAAGGGACCATTACGGACCAGTAGAGGCAGGGCGGGCTCTGGGCAGTCAGCTGATATGCTTGGACTGATGTCAGTGTTGTTGTTGGCACTGGATTGGTCCTCCTGTTTATGTGGCGAGGAAGAGCCATCAAATGTTGCCAAAGGCAGAGAGGTCTGTGTGCCAAAATTGCAGTTGATCAGTCGACCTGATCTCAATACACGGAAACCTGGGGATTCACCTGGAGATGACTGAGAAGAAGATGTTTTGTTTTGGAAAGAAGACTGCCTACATTTCTGAGCACTGCTGCTGCCACCTATTGGAGTGTTCGTAGTACCATTTAAACTGCTTTTCCCCACAGTAGAACCAGTTGTGGAATGTCCACCTTGCTTCTTTGCCTCCTCACGTATCTCACTCATGGTAGCCTGACACGACTGACTGACTTGATCAGAATCTGTTTCAATTTCTCTATCACCTTTCTCAGCTAACCCCTTCTCCACATTTTCACCTGAATCTGAATAAACATCCTGACTGGAATTTAGAGAATGATCTCTTTCATAATTAACATCACAAGACAAACTGTTCTGAGAGCCTGAACTAGATGAATCTCCACCTCTAGAAGAAGCAGATTTTTTAACCAATCCCTTTTTTCTGCCCATGAGACTTTTTCCTTTTCTGCTTGGAGTACTTGCCTCTTTCTCAGACAAAGACCCGTGTGTTTCTTTGGTTTTAACCGAGGTAGGAGATCCGCAGGAAGCACAATATACATGAGCAGGGAGATCCTCTCCACTATCTTTTTGGTCATTTCCCATACTGGATTCTGTTGAATCAACATCACAAGCACCACTGGTTAAGTCTTGACTATTGCACATTCTAACATTCTGTGTCACCGTATCATTCCCATTTCTACTTGCTGGCATGTCACTGCAACTTCCTTCATGTCTATTACTATCACTGCATGATGATGATGATGATGATGATGATGATAAAGATATTTTTTGGCAGGGATTTATATTTAAATGTTCAGAATCTTCAGCACTGTTTGGTTGCTCTTTGTTCACTCTGACATCAGCATGTGTTTCACTATTTTCAACTGTGACATCGTCACCTTTATATTCGGGCGTTTTAAGGGTCTCTACACTCAAAGGAGTCCTACCCGAAGACGACGTAGCAACAGATCTCTCACCATATCCCCCACTATGTTTGACATCACTGTGCTTGAATTTCTTTGGTGGTGGTTCATTATCATGTGTGGGATTCTCCCCATTAGTTTCAGTTGTAATAGACTCCCACTTTGTTTCTTTGTTAACAAGACATGTAGAACTCAGAGCACTGACAGCAGATTTGGACTTAACAAGTCTCTGTGCTTGCAGTGGAGAAGCTCCACCATTCTGGATCATGTCTGTATCCCCTTCCGGGTAAAGTACATCAGAATCTGCCCTTACATTTCCTGTGCAAGTGGACTCTGTGTCAATACTGTCTTTACTGTCCATCTCAGGTTTTGAGATACTGGATTTATTACTGCTTTGCGAGCAAATGCACTTGGAGCAACCGTCAGAAGTGTTTCTGACAGGTCCGCTTTCAGTTTGGATATGTAAATCACTGGACAGTGACTCATCAGTTTCATAACTGAAACTTTCACTGTGCAGTCCCCCAATGCCAGAACACCCTTTACCTGCCACAGGCTGTGAGATTTTTGTCCTCAATTCACCAGTGCCCACATTAACACCATCGATGCCCCTTTGCCTAGTTGCATCTACTGGTTCTTGCTCTAGATCCTTACTTCCCTCTCTGGGATCAAACTCGCAATTCTCAGTTTCACTCAACTGTGACGAAGATGCTGCTGAAAAACTAGGAGGTGGTGACAAAATTTCATCACCAACATCATCGCCATCATCATCGTCATGAAAAACAACATTGTTCTCATCATTACTTGACACTGATAGTCCTCCATTTGCTTGAACACCATGATCAACGTGACAACTGGATGCAGAAGGTTGGGTGGCCAGCTGAGAACTAGACTGACTAGAAGAAGACTGACTGGTGGAAGGTGGACCAGATGACGGATCAACAGGCTGGCTCACAGGATGACTGGCAGGTTGAGCAAGATCAGGATTGGCTGACTGACCAGAAGGCTGAGCACCAGATTGATTGGCAGGTTGAGCAGGAGCTGGATTGGCTGGAGGAGGAGGGTTGGGAGGTACCATTGGCACAGCAACATTCTGATTGGCTGCATTGTGTGGAACAACTGGATCATGATTAGACACAAGGGCTGCAGAAACACCCAATCCTGTGCCTGCTGTCAATCCAACCCTGAAACAAAATTACACATTCAAACACAAATTCAGACTTTAACATCTGATTAATCATCTGATGAAATCATTTTGGTCTCAATTCATTTTGTGAAACTGACAAACTGCCCTTTAACTGTAGTCTAGTGATCTTACGGCAATCTCAGTTATTTAGTCACTAGTAAATTAATTTCATTGTCTGGTGACATGTTTTATACTTAAACCAGGTAGGATTTATCTTTGCTCCACATGCTGACCTTGAGCATCCCTTGGGTGGCTCCCTGAACATCATCTCCAGTGTGACACTCTCAATGGACTGCAGCAAGGGGAGCAGTTTACAGAAACTGTCCAGCTTCACAGAGTGACAGCGCCGCAGGTACAGCTCTCTCAGATTGTTCCATGGCACCAAGGCTGCAATATGCACAGAATAGAGAAATCAAGGAACTTTTTTAAAAAGGGAAGAAAATGAACTTAAAGGGAACTTGAAGCTAAGGAAAGAAAGAACACTTTTCCTAAACAACTTTAAACATGGATGAAGGTGTTACAATTTCATTACTGTTGTCCTTTTTTTATATTATTTTTATCTCTTATTTTTATATATTTTTAAACTTTATTTGTTGAGGGTAGAGGTATGGTAAATTTAAAATCAGTCTTCCCATTGCCCTCATTTATTCATCTATTTATTATTCATCTATTCTTTTTTTTATTTATGATATTATCATGATCTGTTCTTGTTGTTGGTGGTTTTATTATTTTGCTAGAATAACAAATGAAAATAAAGAAAATACTTGTTAAGAAAACAGAAGAACAGAATAGTAGCAAAACAACCCCACAAACCCAAGTCAAACCAAGCCAGAGCATTCTGTAGCAGTGGACAGTTGTATATAGTGAGGAATTGCATAGAGGGGAAAACCCTTCCCGCCGTCCGGAGGCCAAGGTCTGTGATGTTGGGCGGGTTTTCTGTAATATCCGCCAGCCCGTGAGCCACCAGTTGCCCATTGGTCCATTTCCCTGGGGAATGAAAGATGGAAATTATTTTGCAGTTGTTATTTCAGTTAATGGTTTCTTTCTGTAATAATCATTTCATTACTTTGACATTTATCATTCTTTCATTTTTTTTTTTTTTTGAGTCAGTAGCTACATGTATCAATGAAGGTTTTGATCTCTATATATTTATGATCCAAGTAGAAAAACATCCTCGAAAAAATTAATCAGGCAATATAACAGCAGATATAAGGTTCAAACAATTACAAAACACTTCCATACAATCTATCAAAATAAAGATCCTGAAATAATTATCAGACGAAAATTATTTTCATAATTAATATGCACAGAACATTTTATTAAGTAGTGTAAAATATGTAGAACATTGTACCTGGCTCTGGAAAGTCATCTACAAATCCTAAATGCAGAGTCTTGAAGTTTGGGAAGACCACATCTGCTAAGCTCAATGCTGCAAACACACTATCCTTTGTCAGAGAGGGTTGCAAAAGGAGTTCTTCTAGACTAAAAAATAAATTCTGACAAACTTAAAAAAATGACACTGTTCATGTTCTTTTATAAAATGAAAATGCATCATTCAACAGATAAAATCTGAACGAAAAATCTCACTACGAGACTTTACTGAATTCTTTTTTCATCTTTTTATTAATGTTTTTAAAATATATACATTTTTCCAAAAATTGTCATTTTTCTTCTTATTATTAAATTATCCAAAACATACTTTTCTGAACAAGTTATCACTAGATGTCCCAAGTCTCCCTCTAAAGCATGTTTGCATGTGCCAAAAGCTATCTTCTTCAGGTTACTAAAACCATAGGAACGCCAACTGTCTTCCACCACATGTTGAATTAGGCCACCTAATAATATTCAAAGTGGTTAGATATAAATTTTCCAGACATCGCTATTTTATGTAATGTAATGCAATGCAATACAATACGATATAACAAAAAAATTATAATGACATATTATTTTCATCTTTAACAGCAAAATATAATCTCAATATACAACCAATTTATAATGAAACAAATGCATGTTCTTGTTTATGTCTATCTTCAATATAATGCATACAACAACAGCAGTGGCAGCACCTGCTTTTATCTTTCTACCTGGTTTATGCCAATTATTTTTTTAGTTTGAAATTGCTTCAGTATTGCATGAGATGTCCTGCAGAAAGAATTTAAAATAAAAACTTTAAGTGACGTTCACAATATAGTGAAGTCATATTCTTATAATATTTGTATTCATTACAGCAATCTGCTCAAAAAGCTAAAACTGACATTTTTCTGGTGCTCATTTTTGCTATATATTGCGAGATTCATCATTACCACAAAATGCATTGTACAATAAATATACTCACCAAGATAAGGCACCCTCACCAGCTCCAGTCTCCGCAGTTGATGAGCAGCCGCCAAACTTGTTACCATGGGAACATACTTTAAAGCATTGCGCGGCCCAGCGCAGTTACGCATTACAAATACCCTCAGAGATGGTGCCACAAAGTCCTTGAATGGGTGTGGATTGGTCAGACGTACCCACTGCAGATAGAGAGACTGAAGGCACTCCATACTGGGCAGCTCTGGGAGGATCACCCCACTCAGGTGCAACGAGGTAATGGAGGGGTTTGTGGGCAGTGAAAGGCGATTAAATGAAGGGATAGGGTAGCACCCATCGCGATTTTTGAAATTTTCAATAATAACACCAGGGATGGATTCCACAACAGCTTCAAGTAGGCGGATATCACACGTCTCGAGGTACATGATATTTGGGCAGTTATCAAGAACACTGATGATGCCAGGCACAGACAGGACATCTACACCCATCTGCCGTCTTCTTGCCAAGAGCTTGGGGTGTAGACCATTAATCGTTATCAACTCGGGACACCGTGCTAAAAGTTTGCCGAGCTTTGAATCGGTCAACTTCTCTGGCAGCCACCCTTGGTCCTCCCCTTCAGTAAAATCGATAAAAGTTGTGAGTCTCAAGTTCATTGACACAGCTTTATACAGCTTCCTGCTCAGCACCTGTAGTTTCATCATATCATAGAAAGGAAGGTAGTTTAGGATTTGGCACAATATTTCCAAAGAAAGTTTGTTCAGGTTATCTTCACCATCATAATTTTCAAACTCTAGAGGGATAGACTCACTGTCACTTTTAAATCTTTTACTCTGCCTTCTTGCTGGGGTTGTTTCATCTTCCTGATCTCCATTTCCTGTGTTATGTGTACCCATGTCTACACTCCTCCTCCTTCCCAGCTCTACTGTCTTCCTCTTTGAAGAACCTATCTTACGCCTGCCTCTTGCCATCTTTATTCACACAAGATAACTAACTACTAAGACATAGTGGTTTGCCTCTTATATCACCAAATGTGATAGTGGTAATTGTCTAAAAAAAAGGAAAGAAAAAAATGTGATAATAATACAATCATCATTTTTCTTGAATAAAATCATAATTCTAGTGGATTTATATTCTTTCAATTGTGAGAAAAGTGAGGTAAGAAAAGAAAAAAAGTAATATGCACTAACTTGGAACTTTTCTTCTCTATAATCAATGCCCACTTAACATAAGTGACAATTTGAGTAATTGAAATTTGAATTCAGAACTGCCTTAGCCTTCAGCTTATACACACAAGGCCTTATAATTGCCTGTGTTAAAAACTATAGGATATTTCTGATGAATGATATGTATGAGCACTGCTACACAGCTGTGAACAAGAGACTAAAACATAATCAAACTGGTGTGTGAACTAATGAAAGAGAAATTCAATTGCAAATGATTTATCAGGGGCATTACAAGGTGCAGCAGAGGTCTCAGTTTTCCCAGGATGTGGACCGTATTTCTAGCATCGGAATTTTTAGCACGAAATTCATGCCTTAATTAGCACTCCTATATACAGCTTCATATCAGGGACCGTGAACAGGAGTGCTAACCATGCATGAATTTTGTGCTACAAGATAATGTAACGCAGGGTGCTACCAGGTCTTAGCTGCCATAAGTTCCTGGCAATTAATAGCATGTATACATATAAGCCACTGAGCAAAATACAGGCCAAGCTCGTTACGACTCGTAAGGTCCAAGCTAAAGTAAACTTAAGTTGCAGCCAGATTAGGCATATTCTTTATTGATAAACACCTTCACATATAAGGTAAAATCAGTGACAGCACAGGTATCTATAACATACTGTAGCACAAACAAATAAATAAATATGTATAGATTATCATAATGTTGATATAAATGGCCAGAACTTCAATCAAAAGGTGAACCACTACAAATGATACGTATGACCATATCCTTGTCGTGGTAGGCAATCCATTAGTTCTTCGGGATCAACAACAGAATTTGCAATGCTCAGTCATATTTTCTAAAATTTGCACCGAAGATGAACTCAAAACGTCATAATACATACACCCAAAGGCAAATTTTAGCTCTAAATTCGTAAACATACTCAGAAGTATGTATAATTCAGTAATGTTNATATCTAGTATTGTATTTCTGTGACCATTTTATATTTGCTTGTACGCTATCGATGATCTGTACCTTGTATGTTAAGGTTCTTTATGATCAATAAACATTCCATTCCCAAAACTGATAGTAGATACATAAAATGATATCAGAACTGAACATCAGATATAAACCTCAGTGGAATAAAAAAAAGCCATTGACATCAATTAGAAATTGTTTTAAAAACTGACCTTACCAGTAACTTGTTCACGTAACGGTAGCGACAATTTTTTCGTATGTTTTATACAGGAAACAGACAAATAACTAGAACGCACACAATTAATAGCTCCGCGAACTGAAAAATCTAAATATAGAGTTGTGTTTTGAGTTTCTTTTTCTTTCGTGCATCTGTAGAAATAACATCTATTTATTCATTATATATATTACCATTATAGATATTACTAAACATTTTATAATATTGATGATATTAAGCAGCATAACGTGAGAATGCATTACCGTATAACGATAGTCGCAAAACATGCTCTTGATTGAAATGGAAATGTTTTAGGTTTTTACTGACTCTGCAGAGATATGTAAGATTTCATACGCAATATCATAACGCACATTTTGCCAAAACAGTTATTTTAAAACTAAGACATCCCTGGACTAATTTGACAAGTACTTTATGGTATTGTCGTAAGTGCAGGTAACCTTCCCGACAAGATGTGACCATGAACTGGTTTTCTTTTACCAAATTTACACAAACTTATTAGATTTGATGTATATGTTGTTTACAAAATGACTTCTGTAATATCACGAATTCGTCCAGCGACATCGTTATTTTCGAGACACTTGGCACTAAGCAGGTGAGAAATCGATCGTCAGGTTTAAAAAGTTCTTTTGAATATTGGAATATTTTATTGTACGGGGAATACAACCTTTGAAGTAAAATTCACAGAAGAATGTCAACGTTTCACTTTAAATTTAACAACACGCATCTGATTTCACATTCAGTTACTTTTAAACAAGAAGTGTTAACTTCTTGCAGTGTTTGAAAGTTTGATTGGAAAAGGACTGACTGATATTATTTAATAATTGAAATTGAATTATATATATTATTGAAATTTCCTCAGTGAATGACCACTCTTTGTTTTCAAACCAGAGTATTTTTAGGAACTAAGGGCCAGCAGGCTTTTTGGAACAGACTGGCTTTATATAAATTTACTGCTTTCTTACAGATCAGCAGCAGCTGGGAATTCAGTTTTACAAACCAGTTATTTCCACACAAGCGACCAGCAACATGCAAAAATGAAGACTATTATGAAGCAAGCAAAAGATCCACCATACTATAAGCGAATGAATGAAATTGTCTACCCACCTCAAAAAGAAGGAGAACTGAGAAGACCAGCTGTGAGCATGATATGTCAATAGATTAAAAAAAAAATATTATTTATTGCCTTCATATATATATATATATATATATATATATATATATATATATATATATATATATATATATATATATATATATATATCACAATTTCCCTTTAAAAAAGAGTGGAATAAACTATTTTGCACAATATATGTCTCAACAGCATATTGAACCCCTTTGTGTATGCAACAATATGTTGACAGTTCCCTTTTCATGCTCAACACTACGTTAGCAGTACTTACCTGAAACCGTGTTTATTACAGGAAATTAACCACTGGCGTATGAGGATCAAATATAGCCCTGATAAGATGTGGTATATAGCCTGTTTGGTGAGTTGGATTTTCTTCATTATGTTATTTTATTTATGCAAAATCTATAGATAGATTTATTCTTCGTTTTTGCAGTTATTTAAATGTTGAAAAAATACTAGAGTGGTAGTTCATATAGATTCAAATTAAGCATGTTTAATACACTAATATATTCAGACCATTATGCCAGACAAATTTGACCAAATGATTGCGATCAACCATAATTTTGAGGGAATTTTTTTTTTCTTTTTTCAAATGGAAAAAGTGCATTGGACATTGGAGGTGGAGAAATATATGATTGAAATAATAAAAAGATATCATGGCACTGTTCTTATGCTCAGAAATTGGCCACACTCTGGATTTGAATTTTCCATCCATCAAATTTAAATTGAAAGAAAAAGCACACACACACACACACACACACACACACACACACACACACACACACACACACCCTGAAATTTAGTTTTTTTTTTTGTTTGTTTTTTTTTTTTTTATGTTTCAACATCTTATGTTTTTATCTGTCTACTTATCTGTCTGTCTACTGACCCTTTTTGCAGAGACACTGCTGGGTAACCAGCTTAACAATTTGCCTTTCCTGTATTTTGTTTTTTATTTTATTTTTATTTATTAATTTTTATTATTTATTTATTTATTATTATTATTATTATTATTATTATTATTATTATTATTATTTTGAATCTTCAGATGAAATTGAATCAATCAACTGTTGCTTATTAAAGTCTCAGCTGGGCAAAAATTTTTAATTCATATACTGCAATATTTATTATTTTAGATTCGCGGGATGAGTATTGATGATGCCTTGAAGCAGTTAACATTTTACAAAAGGGAAGGTGGTCAGATTGTGAAAGATGTGAGTTTTTTATGGTCATATTTTTTTAGATATGCTAGATTGGAAAAAGAGACTTCACCCCAAAATAAACTGTTTATTTGTGTCATTCAGTAGGCCTTAAACAAAGTTTCTGTAGTGTCATTTGCCTTCTGTAGTGTCATTCACCAGATAATGACATGCATGCACCAACTTTGTTATGCATGTTGCATTCTGGTGTAGATTGTTGCACTGCCATTTCCAGTCAATTAGTCATCAGGCAACCACGACCAGCAGAAATGGGTTAACCGTGCATGTGCATCATTATCTATGGAAAGGTGAATCGAGTAACCACAAAACAAAGATTCTAGTGCTTCACCTGGTAGAAAAAAAAGATTGTGTTGTGTCACCAGAACATACAACAAAGATTCAGTTGTTCAGGAATGTGGTGATATAATTTTTCACCTGATATACGACGTGGATAAGCGTAAACATCTTCATTTAATGCAAACTGGAATTTGTTTCAATGTATAAAGTGATAATAAATGATTATTCAAATTATTGTAGGTGCTTCTTGAAGCCCAAGAAAAGGCAGTAAAAGAACATAATGTGGAGTATAAGTCCAATCTCTGGGTTGGTAAGTACACTGAGGAGAGGTGTGACTTTCAGGTGTTTGCAGTTACCCTCTTAGTTCTTGCCCAATAATTAGTTACTAAAAACAAAATATATACTTTGCTCCAGCAATGAAGGAGGTTACTTTTTCATCAGCATTGGTTTGTAAGTGTTGAGATGGCTGAAAAAAAATTCACAGATGTTTATAAAATTTTATGGACCAACATTTTAGCGAAGGGAAAGAAGTTATAGCAATCGCAAGTGAATCCAACTCTTTTAGTATTTTTTTGGTAATTATCATTATTATTATTTAAATTTTACCTTGGGAGATGTCTGCATTTTTGGAGTGTTCACTACTTTGCCCATTTTTTTTACCTCAACTAAAAGCATTATTACAGAATATTGGTAAATATTTTAAATTCTATGGAACGAAGATTAATCAGTATTTAGTTATGTATTGAACTTGTCTGGTTTAGCTTTTCTTGGAAGATGTGTAGGTCCACAAATGGACCTCAGCCAGGAGCCCTGAAAAGGGCTGTTTGTTGACACATTGTGCTTAACACACTCAACTTCTACCATTGGCATTGGGAAGTAGTCCAGAGGAAGAAAAGAGCTCTGTGCTGTCATTCTCAGAGAATGGAATATAACTGAGCTCATCTTCTTTTCTCGTGGTATACTCCTGGAACATCTTCCATACCCCGTCAGTGATCAGGAGTCTGTTTCGTAACTGATACATAGTCTTGCGATTCTGTTGCTTCACAGCTTTGGCATAGCGTTTCTTCAGACGAGAAACCTGCATCTCCAATCTGGTGGCCTTTCTGCTTCCCATGTACATCTTCAGATAGGCTGTGCAGAAATCAGGCTCTGGCTCATCTGACACAAACACAGGAGGGATGGATGTCTCTTCCATGTTGCTTCCTCAAGAAGATACTGTTACTTATCCCAAGGGCAGTTGAGAACTGATGGGTTAAGCATGGTTTGGCTGGACTTATATACATCTGTTAATTGGCTGTCAGCTTGGGTGTCTTATCAGACAGAAACTAGTTTGTGACACTTCACAGGCTGAGGTGACAAACAGGTCATTGTGAGGCATTGTCCAGTGACAGGTCATTTGGTTAACCATTTATCAAACCTGCCAGGTGATTGACTGGCTTTAAGTCAGGTAAATCACTACACCTGTCTAGTGGCATGTTTGAATAAGTAACTTATAGTAACTGGCTCGCGCTGCCAGTAATTACGCCGCGGGATATTAAGGGCACAGACCGTGATCATAAGGCATACCGCGAATAGAAAATAGAATTTAGAAAATATACATTGCATGTGAATGAAGCCTTAGTATGTGAGATTTTCAACTTTAATTTGAGACTAACCATTTTTTTTATTCGGTCAGCCTGTTCCCTGTCAGGCCTGCATTGACCTGTATGGTCATTTTTAGTGTCATGGTCATTCTGTTGACCAAGGGGACATTTACTCTAGAGTCCATTCTCTTTGCATGAACAATATGTCATCTGTGGGGCAGGAGAGATTTGCTTGCATGGTCAGTTTAGTGACATTGTCACCTGAGAGTTGTTTTTTTTCTTGTGTGTATGTGTGTCACCTGTCAAGCATGCTGTGCCACCTTTCAACTAAGACATTCAGTCTTAGGTTCTTATGTGAACCATGTCCCTGTACAGCCAGAGTCCAGTATCCTGGAAATGACCCAAATCCTACCTGTAGCCTTTGAAGAGCCTGAGACTTGATTCTGCACATAAGTATGAAGTTGATCTGAGGTTTCATCAGGATACGGTAGCAAGGCAAAGGAATTAGTTTTCCCTCCAACTATCAAGGTTGTTTAAAAGCCCAAAAAGTCCCCTTTAGCACAACTGAGGAAGTCTTTGCACAGACCTTGAAAAATCTCAAAAAATGCTGATAGTGATGTGTCATTCTGAATATTCTGCACATAAGTATGAAGTTGATCTGAGGTTTCATCAGGATACAGTAGCAAGGCAAAGAAATTAGTTTTCCCCTCCAACTATCAAGGTTGTTTAAAAGCCCAAAAAGTCCCTTTTAGCACAACTGAGGAAGTATTTGCACAGACCTTGAAAAATCTCAAAAAATGCTTATAGTGATGTGTCATTCGAATATTTTCAAAACTGCAAACTTTATTTTTTACCAGAAAATTGCTAGTATTTGTATGCAATTTAAATAATTTTCTGATAAGGAATTTTAGATTTCAGTTAAATTTTTCTGTTAATTGTTTACAGTTTCGAGATCTCCAGCTTCAACTCTTCTAGTATTTTTTTGGTATTTATTATTATAATTTACATTTTACCTTGGCAGATGTCTGCATTCTTGGAGTGCTCACTACTTTGCCCATTTTTTTTTTACCTCAACTAAAAGTATTATTACAGAATATTGATAAATATTTTAATTTCTATGGAATGAAGATTAATCAGTATTAAGTTATGTATTGAACTTGTCTGGTTTAGCTTTTCTTGGAAGATGTGTAGGTCCACAAATGGACCTCAGCCAGGAGCCCTGAAAAGGGCTGTTTGTTGACACATTTTGCTTAGCACACTCAACTTCTACCATTGGCATTGGGAAGTAGTCCAGAGGAAGAAAAGAGCTCTGTGCTGTCATTCTCAGAGAATGGAATATAACTGAGCTCATCTTCTTTTCTTGTGGTATACTCTTGGAACATCTTCCATACCCCGTCAGTGATCAGGAGTCTGTTTCGTAACTGGTACAGAGCCTTGCGATTCTGTTGCTTCACAGCTTTGGCATAGCGTTTCTTCAGACGAGAAACCTGCATCTCCAATCTGGTGGCCTCTCTGCTTCCCATGTACATCTTCAGATAGGCTGTGCAGAAATCAGGCTCTGGCTCATCTGACACAAACACAGGAGGGATGGATGTCTCTTCCATGTTGCTTCCTCAAGAAAATTTCTCAGAAGATACTGTTACTTATCTCAAGAGCAGTTGAGAAGTGATGGGTTGAGCATGATTTGGCTGGACTTAAATACAGCTGTTAATTGGCTGTCAGCTTGGTTGTCTAATCAGACAGAAACTAGTTTGTGACACTTCACAGGCTGAGGCGACAAACAGCTCATTGTGTGGCATTGTCCAGTGACAGGTTATTTGGTTAACCATTTATCTAACCTGCCAGGTGATTGACTAGCTTTATTTAAGCCAGGTAAATCACTACACCTGTCTAGTGGCATGTTTGAATAAGTTGATGTGACAGTTTTATCACCTGGTGAAAAACAATTCATAATACAAAAATGAAGCAGTACATTTTTTGGTCAGTTTGTGATTGCAGTGATATTTCTCTTATGAAAGAAAAACTTAATGATTACAGTTTTAAAGAAAACATAAGCAAAATTGTTTTTATTTATTTATTTATTTATTTATTTATTTATTTATTTATTTATTTATTCAGTGTCAATTTTTTATTAATGACCAAAAAACTGAAGTCTTGACACATGCATGCTAAAAATTTTTTGATAAATGCAAGCAATTTTCTTCTTTCTTTAAGTTGTTTATATTTTTAGTATGTGAGATTTTCAACTTTAATTTGAGACTAACCTTTTTTTTTTATGTGGTCAGCCTGTTTCCTGTCAGGCCTGCATTGACCTGTTTAGTCATTTTTAGTGTCATGGTCATTCTGTTGACCAAGGGGACATTTACTCTAGAGTCCATTCTCTTTGCATGAACAATATGTCATCTGTGGGGCAGGAGAGATTTGCTTGCGTGGTCAGTTTAGTGACATTGTCACCTGAGAGTTTTTTTTTTTTTCTTGTGTGTATGTGTGTCACCTGTCAAGCATGCCGTGTCATATGTCGTATATGATATTTCAACTAAGACATTCAGTCTTAGGTTCTTATGTGAACCATGTCCCTGTACAGCCAGAGTCCAGTATCCTGGAAATGACCCAAATCCTACCTGAAGCCTTTGAAGAGCCTGAGACTTGATTCTGCACATAAGTATGAAGTTGATCTGAGGTTTCATCAGGATACAGCAGCAAGGCAAAGGAATTAGTTTTCCCTCCAACTATCAATGTTGTTTAAAAGCCCAAAAAGTCCCTTTTAGCACAACTGAGGAAGTCTTTGCACAGACCTTGAAAAATCTCAAAAAATGCTGATAGTGATGTGTCATTCGGAATATTTTCAAAACTGCAAACTTTACTTTTTTACCAGAAAATTGCTAGTATTTGTATTCAATTTAAATAATTTTCCGATAAGGATTTTTAGATTTCAGTTAAATTTTTTCTGTTAATTGTACCACCAGCGTTAGCGCTGGCGGTACACATGGTTTTAGTCCCGTCCAGATTGTTCCGCCGGTTCCTGCAGCTCCGCCGACAAGTTACCGTTACCGCTTCTCCTCCTAGACGGTAATGGCCCCCATACCCATCTCTTGGATTTAGGTCACCTATAATCTCAACTCGTTTCACGTAAAATTTGGGCTTTGTCGGTATTGGGGTCTAGGTGTGGCACTCATTGCAATGCACCCTTGTCCAAAAATGGCAAAATTAAATGCTAATTATCTACCCTACGGAAGGAATTATGGGAAAAATTTCTACAGACAGCTTTCCAAAAGTCATATGTGTAGATTTCAAATATGCCCTTGGATTTGACCTTTGACCTTTATTTCAAGGCCAAACGGGCCAAAATTTTCAAAAAAACGAATTTTTTTACAAAAAAAAATTATTTGCGATGTTATTCAGACACCACACAGACTTAACCAATAATATTACTGGAAAGTGTTACCCTTCGGGTCATCTTTCATCTCCGTGAATTTGGGGTCAATCGGTGCATTTTCACGGGAGTAGCGGCCATAAGATACCAAAATGAAAACTGTCTCTAATTCGGGAACCGTTAATGCTAGAGACCCATTCTTTTTTGCATTTTGTAGAGCATGTAAAGCCCAACACTGGAGGTGGTCTCCGTTTTTCGTATTCCATACGGTTTTCGAGTTACGCTGTATCAAAAAGTACATATTGGTGGTGAAAGCAAAATGTGCAGTACGGTAATGGATAATAAATTTTGAACTCCGGAAAAATAAAACATAATGCTTGGCGAGGCAGACAACTTGTGGTCAAAAATGACATAATTTCATCACATTTGAACATCTG